CATACTTATACAAACTTTTCTCCAAATGTTTACAAGTCTTTAGTTCACAATTTTACAAATCAAAGACACATTAATACTTATGAATTCACCAGCTTAATTGTTGATACTCGCTTTCAAAATAACTTGTATTCTCAAGTCACAAATACACAGGTACAACGACCAGGTTTTGTGAAGACGGAGCAGTCAAGACTCCTCTTTTATTTTGATGATTCATTATGTTGTCTTATACTATGAAAAACACACTTGTAATTAAAATTATACTATTAATGCAATGGATGATATTGTTGCTTGTTTACTACTTTACATTGTTGTGATACACTACATGACATCCTCCGCCCCAGAACGTTTCCATTGGTCTCGGTTTTGGGGTGTGACATCAAGTCCATTGGTTACTACGGTTTCGGTGTGAACCATTAGTGGCGCGACACTTGTGGTGCTTGCTAGCAAAGGTTTTCAAGTAAGGATTCAACATTGTTTACAATAACAATCTTTAAGGTTAGTTTTCTTATCTTATGAATTAGTTTGATCCTAGGAAAGTTTTGTAGATTAGCCATTCATTGTATGTTGCTATACTTGAAAGACATAAATCAAACTAGGTTGCATGTGCCCTAATTATTTGAACTATTTGAATGAATTTCCGCTTAGTGCATTGCAGATGTAGCCTCATAAACCCGTAATAGAGGAGGATTGTTAGGGATAGGGATAACTTGAAAGATATGATGCTTGCATGCCGAACACATTGTAACACTAAGACCCTACATCGCAAGAATAAAAATAAAAGGCTTAAAAATGATCTTTTTTTTTTAACTCCCCGAAAAATGTCAAACTCTTTTGTTGCCGAGCCATTGACAATAATTGAAGCCCTTCTTGAAGAAATGCAACCTCTAATCGAATCCCTCTATTTAGTGCTAAACTCCACTTGTTCCATAACCGAATCGAAAAATCCCCAATTTAGAGAATCGAACACCTTATTAAAGTCAACTATAAAGAATAATACTTTTCTTTTTACCTTCTTGGCCCAACTAAACAATTCATTGATGATTAAAGGCTCATCCAAAATAGTTTTACCATCAATATATGTTGATTGCTCTAGACCCACGAGCTTGCTCGTCACCCACTTAAGCTGCAAAGTAAGAAGCTTATACACAATTTTATACATACAACCAATTAAGTTAACTGGCCAATAATATTTTAAATATAAAGGGTCTTTTATTTTTGGAATAAGCGAAATGAATGAAGCATTGCAACCCCTACTAAATTCACATATTGCTTCAAAATGCTTGATAAAATTGAATATATCACCTTGAATCGTGTCCCTAAATGTTTTAAATTTTTTTAAGGCCAAGCCATCTAGATCTAGAGCTTTTTTTAACAACAATTTTATTAAACGGAAGTCAACCCATCCAACTAAGTTTTCTATTTCTAAATCTGCTACAAACCTACAAGAAGGTTAGAGTAACTAATCTATCCCAAATAATTGAACCCGGAACTTTATCATTTCCACAACTCCAAATAGCCTCCATAACATCTCAAAGAATGAATGAGTTTAACATCTGAAAGCATGAATGAGTTGTCAAGAAAATCTTTGTCACCATCATCAAGTTTCTTGAATTTATTACTTCTTAACTTGGGCTTGATAGGATAGCTCTCATTAAACTTTCTCAATTAAAAAAAAAAAAAAAAAAAAAAAAAAAAAAAACCCTTCCAAACTTCTTCTTTTATCGTGATAGGACTCGAAAGCCGTTCTCAATCGATTACTAAATTGTTTAAATTATTATTCTTCATGTGACCATTGATGACCCATGAAAAAATCTTTTGTTTTCGTCACCATCTACGCTCATTATAGTTTCATTTTTCTACAACAAATCCAATTTGTTTTCTACACCAAATCCAATTTCTAGTTGTTATCGATCTCAAAAATGCGATTTTTGCTATTTTTCAATAATCTTAATCCGTGAATTATGCATCGACATAATTAACTTTAATATCCAATTTAATACTATTTTTTTTAACTATAATTCTATTAAGTGTACACTTCAATAGCAATTAACTAAAAATTTTAATATAACTGAAGAAAACATTTTAATTTAATGCTACAACCTTTAAACTTGCAACTTCGTATACTCTTTTTTTTTCAATTGTGAATATATAAACTAAGTATAAAAAGCTAAAAAATAAAATAAAATAAACTGCAATATATCCAAAACAAATCTTCTACTCTAATAAATAAATGTTTTTTTTATCATTTGTCACACTCTCATTTAATTTGTCAAATGTAATTTTATGGTTATTTTGAATTAATTTTTTTCAACATGTCATTTTATAAGTTTTTCTATTTTTTTAAATTTAACATAATACTTTAATGTAATAATTTCAATAAAGATAGTAATAAATAGATATCAATGTCATTAATAAACTTACCTTTTAATTTCAAAATTCTCAAAATTAAAGCTCATTAGTTTATTTATTGTTTATTGAAATTATTTGTTTAAATTTAAAAGATAAAAAAAATATTTCCATTATAATTAATAATTTATTATTTTTATTATTTTCTTATAAATTTAAAACTCTTAAATATTTAGACCTTTATATTTATATTTTTAATTAATCCATGTAATATATGGGTCTTCTAAATAATAAAAAAATAATAAAAGGTTAAGTATATTGAATGTATAACCAAAATGTTAACTAAACATAAAAATATTCCAAATCTAGAATAATTATAAAAAAAATCCAAATACGTAGCTTTTAAGTTAAGTATTATAAAAAAATGTATTTAATCAAGGGAACAACATTATTTTAACATATACAATAATTTAAATTCTACATTGTATATTATATAATAATAAAAATAATATTTTTATAGATGGTAAAAAATCGTTAAGTACGAACAAGAAACCATTACTTTCTGGCGTCCCAAAATTATAGTCGATCTTTTCTTTTTGTTTTGTCTGAAAATAATAATCAACTTTTAAAAATAAATAACATTTTTACTAAATTATCCTTCATTATTACTTAACCAACTAAACATTTAATGAAATATTAAAGGTAAAGTAATGATAAAATTGTCATTTTATTGTATAAAATTAGTGTAATTAATGTTACCTTAGTCTTTGTATTTTTTATTTATATACAATAATTTTGGGACGGATGGAATATATACGAAGAGGTTCATATTAGTAAAAGTAATATAAAATATAATGATATGTTTTTTTTGAAAAAGTAATAATTAATATTACAAAAATAATCTTGATTAAAAATAAAAAAAGTAACCAAGTAAGATTATAAAAGATAAAATAAATATTTATATATCCTTTGAGTACGTATTATTTTGAAATAACATTTACACTTTAAATGACAAATATTAAATTTAATAAAAATCAATACGTTTTTTTTAATTCAAATTGATATTGATAAAAGTTAAATATTTTTTTAAACCATATTTTTAATACGATAAAAGATAAAGTCATAAGCAATTATATTAATGACTTGTTTGACAAAATTAATTGATAGAGGTAACAGGTAGCGGAAAGTTGGTAGCGTTTTGTTAAACGTTATATGAGGTAGCTTTTGAATTTGAAATATTTTGTTCAAACTAAAGGATAAAAGTTTGGTGCGCCAAACGAAAGCTTTTGTTTAAAACGAAACATTTTTTCCAAACGTTAAAAGTTAAAAGCTCTCAAACAATCTGTGTCAAACGTACCTTAAACTTGATTGTGAAATATCAATTATCACCATATTTCAATTTTTGTATATCCTAGTTTCCTTCAATTTTTTGTATTTTCTATAGTGTTTTAATTAAATACTTAAATGTTTTTGAATTTTCGAATACAAAATATTTATAATAAATTATTTCTTTTTATTTTAATTATAAAAATATAATTTGCTTTAGTTATGTTTTGTAATATTTTATTAGATTTTAGTAATAAACAACAAAACAATTCATCAGAATTATCAGATTTGGCTTGGTATTTTGGATATGTTTTTAAAGTAAAATCTCCGGAAAAATCCTAATATTTCACTTTAATTTACGAAAAAGTCTCAAACTAATTTTTTTTTTATAAAAAAGTTCTAATTACCGGTAAAAATGACGATTTTACCCTTTTTCCGCTTTATCGGTTTCAATACTTACCCGAATTCATTAACGTCTCATTATTTTACCATAATTTATTAAAATCTCATTATTTTACCATAATTTGTGACTTGTTCGTAAATTATGGTAAAATAATGAAAATTTAATAAAACTTGGTAAGTAATAAAATTGGTAAATCGGGAAAAATTGGTCAAATCGTCACTTTTATCGGTAATTCAGACTTTTTCGTAAACAAAATTTAATTTGAGGATTTTTCTTAAATTAGAATAAAATATTGAGATTTTTTGGAAGATTTCACTGCTTTTAAAAATTTAGAATACTCTTTTGTCCCATGAAATATACTTTTTCTTTTGTCAAAAGTTATAATTTTGATTTGAATGAAAAAAAGCTAAAAAGAATTGATTTAATACAAAAAAAATTAATTTCAAAAATATTAGTCAAATTAACAAATGTTTAAAAGTTACGTTATTTTCCTATATATTTCAGATGATGTTATGATTTTTGTTAATATTCATTTCAATTTATTTTGAAAGCTATTACGTTAACATAGGGCTGGCAAAAAAATCTTGAACCCGATGGGAAAATCCAAAATCCAAGCGTTTTAGGGTTGAGTAACGGGTTATTATTGGGTTTTTCTCGAGACCTAGGCAGTAAATAGGTTATCATTGTTGTGATTATATATATATATATATATATATAGAGAGAGAGAGAGAGAGAGACTTTTTGATATTGATTGCATACATTCAAATACCAATAATTACTGTGGATAATCTATTTAACTGTTAACAATTTTATGTAATGATTTTTTTTTTATTTATATTTTGATATAGTCTTATACTAAATTTAAATCAAATAATTTTTAATATAACATTGACTATTTTATTTTATTAAATTGATGCATCATATTTTATAATTTAAAACGGAGGTTAAAACAAGTATTTTTTTTTTAATAATGTAATTTTTTTTTTATATTTTTTTATAAGACACAAGAGTACGATAAATCGAAATAAAAAATTCGTTATTGATTACTATAAACCGAATAAGACACCCTGAATGCTGATGGAGCGCTCCGATAAAATATCCAAAAGATATTGGACGGGTTTGAGGGCCCACCCCTTTGCCATTTCCACTCTAAGTTTTTAAGATTACGAATTGTCAATATCATCATGAGTGTCACGTTACAGCTTGCATACTCTGTTAAGATATTTATTATTTTAAAAAAGTGAGTAACAGCTTGATTAGATTTAGATAGATATATAATAACGTTTTATTTATTTGAAATGTACAAACAAAGAAAACTACTTAGAATGACTTATTTCATTCCAACACATTAAAACAAAAACGTCATGGTATTTATTTTACAAGGGGACCATCTTTAACAATATAATTACATCAATGACCCCTACATATAAGCTACCGACACCTTCCTTTACAATCAACATTATTTGAACAATAAGATCCATTCATTTGATTTTCTTATTATTATTTTTATCCTTTCTTCGAAAACAATCCATTGATTTATTATTATCTTTTTAGCAACATCCCACCCCTCCCCCTTTTTTTATTTTTTTTTCTAAAACAATCAATAAGTCCATTCTTGAGGGAGTTTAGATTTCTGTTGATCCGTTGATGACAACTCTTTCGCATGTTTTCTATCGTTATTGTCTGCAACATAAGCATTGAAGCAATTTAAAGGCGGTTAGAGATTTATCACAAATAATAGTCGTTGAATTTTGTTTTGTTTTTTTTTTTTTTATTGAAAAATACCTTGTCGATTGGTATGAATATGAGATTTCTTCGAAGATGAAAGAGACTCCATATTGTTAAAATGTTGCTCTAATGCTTGTAATACTCTTGTTGGTACCAAAACAGTTGAACAACCTATTATATATTATCATGTTATTAATATAAACATCAATAAAAAGGTGAAATATCAATATGTTGCCTACAACTTTCATAAAGACCTATAATTAATTTACAAATCTTATTTTCTTTGTCGCTTCAAATAAATGTAGAAGCTTGTAGTAATATTTTGCTATTTAGATTTTTTTTTTTTCGCTTATGATTTTCTTGTTATTTCAAAAACATAGTTATCAAAATCTTATTAGGTTATGTCTTAATCGAATGTTGTAACCTTATTGTTGCTTAAAATGAAACAAATGACTTTCTACACATTTATGTAAAATCTTGTTTTAAATATCGTCGTGTCCGACTATAATCAATAAAATAAAATTCTATCATCATATATACTTGCATCATACTGAATTCCCCCAATACAGAAACCAAAAATTAAAATAATAATAAGAAATTAATCGAATTATGTATTTTGCTTATATATTTTATTGTGATTAATTAATCTACTTAATCCAGTGATTTATGCAATTAGAACTGTGTAATTAATTTCAATCATTGCTGATATCGGTTTAACACAAATTGCTATGAGTATGTAGAATAAAAATGAAACGATGTAAGTGCTATATTAAGATTTATACTTGGTATTACACAATAAAAGTGGTTGTGGAAATCAGATTAATTAGATTAAATTAATTATAAGAAAATGTGTAATTAGAGTTCATGGACTCTGTATTTATAATATAAAACAACAAAAATATTGTTGAAGGTAGAAATGGAAATAATTAGATAAATAAATAAATAAATCAAATTGCAAATAAAGACGAAATAAATAAATGAAGGTGTGGTCACCACCATTACAAATACGAAGAGATTCTTGAATATTTTAGAATATACACATAAGAGATTCTAAGTCAATGGTTAGTAATTAGGTATCCCACCCGCAGAAAGAATCCAAAGGCCAACTCCTTAAATTTTATATCTTTTTTATACATCAAATAACTCGATTCAAACCTATTTGTATTGTTTAGCTTTATAATTGATCTATATACCTTTATACTTTTCATTATATTGAGTTGTATATCTGTTTTTTCACGATTTTTATTGCATAACTTTAATTTAGATTTGACAAATAGATGAGTAAGCAAAAAAGCAACCCCGAGTGACGTACCTGTTTTTTTGCGGCCTTGAACGGTTGCGTCTGTTGTTGAACGAGGCAAAAACACACCGGTCCCATTCATGACGTTTTGTGAGCCCGACCCGCCGAGAAAAATGGCTCTCATGCCTGATCCGGCCACCGTCGATGAGCCATGAACACCGTGGTACCCCTTCCCACCATTGATGAACTCCTTGCTACCTCTCACACCTTTGTTACCATGCATCTGTACTTCGGGACGGTGCGGTGTCATGTGCTGAGTCAACTCGCTCATCTTACCTTTTCTTCCCCACGCACCACTCTGCCCCCCTACTCGAGGTTGATGTTCCAACTGATACAGCTATAGAACACAAAAAAAAAAAAGTAGATCATAGGTCAGATTATCTGTCGGATTTGTGATTCGGATCCAGTGCTAGAATTTATACACACTAATTCGTACTTGAATGGGCGGTTGTATTTGTTTATCGTTGGTTAGACTTTGCTCCGACTGAAAGCCGACAATTGATTTCTTCACGGTATCTGCGTAGCTCCGTCGAGTCTTCTCCTGATTTGGATTATAAGTAGGTTCCTAAAACACAAACAAAACCAGTAAATACAACGATTTTCATTCCATTAACAAAAAGTAGTAAATCAACCGAGGTTTTCCGAAAAACCTGGATATTCTGTTTCTGAAAACCGGAATCCTTCGAAGACGGATTTTCTTCGCTTCGGTTATCGTCCTTATCTTCAAGCATGTAATCAGCCATTTGCCGAGATAACTGAGCAATGAAATCGTCGTCGTCGTCGTCGTCGCCGCCGCCGTCATCTGGATCTGCATCGGTTGAATCAAGTTCCGATCCAAACGATGGAGTAAGGAAGGAAGACGACGACGACGATCCCCATGAGCCGATAAAAGCAGAATCAGATCCCGAATCCGAGTGGCGACTGTGATTCTGATTCACCGGAATCAACGCTTCATTATCCTTAAAATCAATATCCATGGATGATTGGATGATGTGATAGAAGATTCAGTTTGTGATAAACAAAATCCAGTGTGTGTTCACAGTGTTTGCGTGTGAGCGAGAGGGAGAGGAGTGAAGGGAATGGTTAAGAACAAGAGGAGGAGCGAGAGGTTGGATGAGGGGTGAGTCGGTCAGTATCTGAAAAAAAGGGAAAGATGTGAACTAAGACTTGTAAGTTGTGCTTTGAGAGTTGTACCATATGAATCCAAACTAAAATGACCCGCCACTAGACTCAACTGCCATTTGTTGGCTGTGGACAAACACAAACCGATCTCTATCAAATATTTAATATTCATTTTACATTAGCCGATTAAGTTTAAAAAGGTTATTTTTTTTTTTTTTCGTTTTAAAAATTGATTTATTAAATATACAGTTAGATTCATTTTCCGAAATTGTTTCTAGTCCAAATTTAGTAAAATTTATGATTAATTCAAGACAATATAGTAAGAAGAAGCATTGTTTAAGATATATCGTATTAAGTAATTTTACTATAATAGATTAGTTAATGTGATTATGAGAACAAGACCATGTAATTAAAATTATAGAAACGTGCAATGACATGTTTATTGTTTCTATAAGTTCTTGTGACAATCAATTTTTAATTAACTTTTATTGTAGACGTGTTTTGTTGTAACTGTTCATAACTTTTGAAAATTTATATTTTATATTTTGCAAAACTATATATTTTCCTGAATATTGATCAAAGATGATAATTCTTTGGACATTTATATTGTTCATATTTAATCAAAGTCACCTATCCTATGAACTTGTTATACTAATCAAAGCACTCATCGTTTTCTACTAATTTGTATTATAGAACAAAAAGCTATTTTTATATTTGATTAAAATTAGTATTTAACTCATCTTGTAAGTTGTGGCAGAGAACTCTTTGTAATAATTAAAAATGAAAACTGTAAAAAGTATTTATATAACTGACCAAAAAGTAATTTTAATGTGCAGTGTCACTTTTTTTCAATTCGTGTGTGGAATATGATTTATAAAGAGTATATTACATGAATAGTCCTTATGGTTTGGGGTAATTTGCGCGTTTGGTCCTTAACTTATTTTTTTAACTCGGAAGGTCCCTACTGTTTGTTTTTGTTATACGCTTGGTCCCTACTGTTTGTTTTTGTTACACGTTTGGTCTCTATCTTACCTAAAAGACTATTATTTAAATAGGTAAAAATTACAAGGTATGTAAGATAAGATGAGGGGAGTCGAGTTGGGGGTGTGTTTATTTAAATAAATTAAAAAATCAAGGGCAAAATAGTCATTTTAGGCAAGACAGGGACCAAACGCATAACAAAAATAAACACTAGGAACTTTCCAAATTAAAAAAATAAGTTAAGGACCAAACACACAAATTACTCTAAACCATAAGAACCATTCGTGTAATTTACTCATTTATAAATGTGAGCAATTCATATATAACACGGTGACTATTATAATATATCAACTAGACCACAAATGTATTAAAATTAAATTTTAATCTAAACAATTATATATAAAAGAAGCATACAAAAATAAAGTTGGAAAATATATCTTAAAGAAATTAATAAAAACTAAAGTTATATAAAAATTATATAAATGAACAAAAATGTAACTTCAAATTAACAAGATATAATATTAATATTTTAATTTTAAAATTATAAACAATGAAAACTAATAGATCAAAAAATTAATTTTAAGAAAAAAAAATATAAATATAAAAATATGCTATGACCTTAGACAAAATCTTTATTTAAAATGAAATGCCAATTGGTAGATTAAAATTTTTGCTATGGATCATATATGTAGAATTAAAAATGATTCCGGAATGTCAAAATGAATAAATCATACTAACAAAGATAATATTAAAAGTTTTTGGTAGTCATAGACGGATCTAAGATTAATGGAAAGAGGTATCCATGATAAATAAAGGGTATCTCCGATAAAAAAAAAAAAAATAAAAAAAAAAATAAATAAATAAATGTAACACGATAAGAAAAAAAAATAAACTACTGAGATTTTTTGAGGGGTATCTCAGGCTACCTCAGGATATATATATATATATATATATATATATATATATATATATATATATATATATATATATATTAAATCTGCCCGTGTTGGTAGGTTGGGGCAGATCCAGGATCAATGTAAAAGGAGTATCACCGACAAGTAAATGAGTATCCAGAAAAAAAAATCACACAATACACAATAAGAAAAAAAATCCACAAAAAAATTACACTGCTAAGATTTTTTTGAAAGGTATTCCAAACTACCCGGGATATATACTAAATCCGTTGGTACAAAAGCATTCAAACATTAAGTAATTTGTGCTAAAATTTTATCTATTTTTTTGTTACGTGAAAGTGTGAAACATTGAATTTGACATTTTCGTCAGCTTTTGACAAAAGGAAAATTTGGCTTGAATTAAATTACATTTAATTTCTTTTTAACATGACGTAGTTGTTTTGTTTCTTCTCATTGATATAAAGTCATCTAGCATACACTTTCCTTTGCCATTTTATGTTATATTAGAGTTCTTTATGATTAATTAGAGACAGTAAATCAAGTGCACATGAAACGCTGCTTGGTGCTTGTTTTGTGGGTTAAACGTTTGTTTCATGGATTGTATGTAAGATTGGTTTTTTAAAGTTCATTTTTAACATCAATTTCAAGTGATAATAAGTTAACAGTAGACTAAAGTGCAAATATGGTCCTTATATTTATCTTAAAATTGCTTTAGTCGACAAAACTTTATTTTGGTTTTGGTTCAAATTTTTTAAAGATATTGAAAATGACTGATTTAGCTTTGTTATTTTGTTTATCTATTTTATTTTTATTACAACAATTAAATGAAAAGAAAAAATAAAATATTATCCCTATAAACCTCTTTCCTTTTTTACAATGTTTATCTTCAAAAGACCACCACCAACACCACCGTTTAACGTCGTCATCGCCACCACCGTCATTACCATCGGTCAACTCCACTACCACTAGTACCAGCACCACCACCACCAAATGAACTCAAACAAAAATTTCCAAATATGCAACTTAAACTTAAGAAGGATCACATTTGTAAACTCTCACCATCTTTCTATTCCTGATTTATAAGTACATATATAATGATGAACAATACGAAGATTTGAGAACTAGATGAAGACTTGGACTAGATTCAACACACATAAGCATCATATTATTTTTCCACTGTTAATAAATTTCATGAAGATTTAACACAGAACCCAAAAATCAAGTCAAATGAACATCAGATAACAGCCAATCTATGTTTTTTAAATAGATGAAGACCAAACCTAATAGGATTTATAGATTTGAGAGACAGATAGACAGAGAGGGAGAGATGTATCTTAGTGACAAGAGCTCCCACGAGAGGCTCTAGTGAGATGGGTAAGTGCTCCGAGTGACAGGTGAGTGGTGGTTTCAGCGACAGATTGGTGGCAGCTCCGACGACAGGTGAGCGGCATCTGAAACTTATGCTCTTTTTAGATATCATATGAGAGGAAGATGGGGAAGAAGGTTGCATCTGGTATTTTAGTTTTTTTTTTTGTTACTATAATAAAAAGAAAATAAAAAAAAACAAAATAAAAAGAGAAAATTCGTCATTTTAAGTATTTTTTTAAAATTTTAGACCAAAATCGCAATAAAAACTTATTTTGGATCTATCATGCTAATCCAAAACGTTTCGAACCAAAGTGATAATTTTCGGCTAAACACAAGGGTCATTTTTGCATTTGTGTCTGAACAATAATAACTATGCATAAGAGTATATGCCCACAACGAAACATGTTAGAAATCGTTGTCAATCGGGAATTATTTGATTTGAAACCGAGAGAATTGAAAACAAAATCGAACCAAATTTCAAATTCAGTTTTTGGTTTATTTACATACCAAACTGAATTATGAATTTGGTTTATGGTCTTATGATGTTCATACCAAACCAAACCAAATTATCGAATTCAACTAATTCAATATTTCTTTATTAAATAAATTATATTTTAATATTTTAAAAATTAAATAAAATTTTGAAAACATTTATTTAATAATTTAATTCAATATCTACAATTTTTACCTTACACAATGAGATCTCAAAACTTCTAAATTTCCCTCTATTGTCCTTTCTATTCTTCCGTTACGTTCAAAAAAATATTGAATCTATATTTGGAACTTTAATTCAATGTTTGAAAATTTGTAACTTTAACTTTTCCTTTTAACATTGAAATTTGGTTTCCTTGATTTCAAACCAAATGAAATCGAATTGTAGCTTCATTTTCGGTTTGGTTTGGGTTGCCTTGAATTTGGTTTGATTCGGTTTTAGTTTGTGCACAAAAAAATTCTAATCGAGGAAACCTAATAAATCATAAAATTAATTGATTTCCAACCTTGGTCAACATCATTCAGAGCTTATAAGTCCATGGGCGGCATTGAGAGTGTGCAAGGTGGGAAACCTTACATGGGCCAATCTCATCTAGAGACGCACACAAAACGGAATCTCCTATTAAGATATGATATGATTTGAAATCTAGATCCGATCAACACCAGATTTTGATAAAATTGGATCAGATTAATCTAATCCACCTTATTATAATCGGATGCATATCCTACGGTCAAAATTAGATTTGATATAGGATCATAAAGTGGATTTTCCAAAATGTGTATCTCAATCCACCCTAAATCACGTTCTAACCCCTCCCAAATAGTATCAAATCGGATCGAAATCAGATTAGGAACATATCTAAATCCACTTGCAACCAGATATTGATCAAAATTTTGATGATGCCATCCAAGTCAGATCAGATTGTAACGTTCCAAATTTCAAACTAAAATTTCCATTTAAAAGCAGATTAAACCTTCAAAACTCATTCTTAAAAACATGTTATATTATTCATTCGTTTCAGAAGCATAAGGTATAAACATAGTTAAATCACTAAAACTAGTAGAATTCGAATAACAATAAATCTTATATACGAATGTACAGCCACATCGTGCCCTTCTCTCAAACAACCTAAAAAATAATCAACTTAACAACGTAAGCATAAAGCTTAGTGATTTTCATAATATACCACATATTTCATCATACATACAATACATACAAACAAAGGCTCCCGACTTCAAACAATCCACCATCAATACTCTCAAGCATAAAGTACCAACATACATATGAACCATATACACCCTGCCATCATACAACTACCGAATTTCAACCAACTTACAACCATTGGCTCCCTATCATAATACAACCACTAACTCTTAATCATCCCACAACCAT